AATGAAATGAGGGAAAGAAGACAAGTTAAAATATTATTTAGGAGAAGCTAGGCAGCCAAGTGCTTATTTATTTCATGCGTCGGAGAGAAAACATAATCTTACAGCCAGCGAAAACCATTTCTTTGAAAGCCATGGCGTTTGTAGAATAAAAAAAGTATAGTGCTCTTAGAATTTTACACAAAAAAATAATTACGTGGTCAATTAACTGAGTAAAGATTAAGTTGTTTACGTGCTTATATTTGAAAGGCTGCTAAAATAAATTCCCCTATAAAGCAATGCCTTCAAAGTCATTACACATAAATTATCCTGAAGTTAATAAAGTAACGTATATATTATTACAGAAAACTTATTTCCGGCAAAAGATCCCGTATAAGATACTATCACATACATAATGTAAATAACTTCATATAGTAAATTGAATTATAATCCACTAGTATTATATGTGTCAAAAGAGGAAGAAATTTAAAAGGCAACTTACATGCGGATCCAGGCGAGTGCGTAAATACTGTGGTACCGAGTCGTGATTAAAGACGGACAGCCTTTCTTCGGTTGCTTTACCTAAAATGGGATCAGGATCAGGGCTAAGCAGCAAAGGCGTGAGGACAAGAGAATCTGCCTGAGGAAATCTTTCAGATTCAACAAATTTGCGAATTTCATTCAATTCTGAGGCACATAGTCCTAGCGTATTAAGATAATTTGGCCAGTCACATCTTTCACCCTGAGTTTCTAATTTAAACATCAATTCCTGCAACTTAAGCTTCAACTTAAAAGCAGAGGCATACAACGACTTTATGGAGTCAAGCTGACGCTTTTCAGCTGCCTGCATAGCTGAAAGGGGCCAGCAGGGAGCGTTCAAATTTATGCTTCACCTAAATGCCTCAGAACTGGTTTTGTAAAATTAAAAAAATTAAGAAACTATTTATATAAAAAATAAAAAATAATAGAGAAACAAATAATCGATAAATTATTAGAGGACAAGCTAGTATGTAGAGAAACAAAGGCCTACGGGCGATGGATGATTGGGCAGGAATAAGAGATTTAATCTGATATCAAACAAAACATATATATATATATATTCACATATTCATATATTCTTGCTCCCAAGTATTCATATTTTAAAGTGTTGGGAAACTTGCTTGCGCAGCCTGGACATATCTTATTACACCTATTAGGCTTCAGTTCATAAATGACTTCGCTTAATTAGGTCCTGATTATTTGTTAATCCTTATTTATACTTTAAAATTGATAATAGAGGATCAGCGAATTGTAGGCTGATAAAAGATAATAGTAATCATTAAGTTATATTTCTTGCTTGTTGCAGCTCAGTTTAGCTTTCAGACTATCAACAAAATGCATGCTGGATATATACAACAAGGTTGGTCCTCTTATCTTCTCTAGAAAGCCTTAAAATCTGCAACTTTTTTTAAAGTATATATTAGATCTATTGACTCTATTTCATTTAAAGCGATGAAGGACTGGTAGTTTAATTTTCCTACAATGATATGAGTAATGCTGACGTTTCCATGAAATTTTACATATATTGCTTTCCTTAAAAGTACTCTAATCCAGGATACACTTAAGCTTTGACCTCGCGTAGTTCTTATCAACTCCCTCCCAGTGAGAGGTAGTAGTCTCGAAACCCTACATATAAACAATAAATTTTTAGTATAGGTTAGCAAACTTCACATTTTTACTTGTAATATAGTAGATAACAATGATACTGATTGCCATATGACTATTTTTGATATATTAACAGTATCCTTATTGAGTTTGCTTCA